GTAATATGAATATTTGATTTAACTGGTGTTAGAAGTTGATGCTTGGGTATTTGTAAGTATTACAGTTTTAACTTTCGTTAAAAACACATTTTCTTTTAGGCATAGTTATTATTTTAATTATTATTTATTACTTATTAGTTCAACTGATATGACAGATTGTAAGATATACACAATAAATGTTCACACACGAAATGCTAAACGCTAACTGGCTAACTGACTAACTGAGAAACTGGGGATGTATAAAAATTATAAATATTTTCACCGACACTACGAGAGATATCATTCTATTTACAAATAATATATACACATATTGTGCTATAATATTATTATGTCTCATCGTCGGTCGCGACGTCGTGATCGTAATCGTCTGTATGTGATCCTTTACGACGAAAACCAAAAATAACTTTATATTCGAATAATCGAATTCGATACTTACAAATCGGTTATCGTAATAATATGGCAAAAACACCATTAGGTATTCTACAAAATATGCATAATTATATACGATATACATTTACTCCGTAGACCGTAATTGATATTTAATACAGATAGATAAAGATTACCTATATTTTTAATATTTAATTTTTTTTTTTTACATATTTTCTATTTTATGAAAAAAACGGGACAATATAGCGTCCCGGAAGCATATGTCGGGACAACGGGACAGACTTTTGAAATACGGTACTTTCCCGTATAATACGGGACGTCTGGCCACCCTACTTACACTGGACGACTACGAATTGGTTCCCGGGTTGTCTACAGGTAACATACGAGTTGGTTCCCGCAAGCTTTCATAAATCTCTAAAAACGTCATGCTCAGTAAGCTGTTCAATATCACCATTGACTAGTAACTCTTGGCAAATTAATTTTGTTGGACGTTCAAGATTTTCCTGAGCTTTTATTTTTAAGTTATTACTCAATGCTTGCCTGTCCAATATGTTTTCACTATCTTTTTCGTGATTGTGTTCGAGGTTAAATTCCTCAATATTATTTAAATTATTTATTTTTAAAAACAATGTGCATTTTCTTTTTGTACAAATCCAACGTTCCATATTTCCCAGTAGTTCTTTTTGGCATCCGTATTTGAAACCCTTCATAACGAAAAGTTTTTTATTTTTTTCACTGAACATCACTTCCATTTCAACGCACGCACTAGGTTAGTTGTGAGTTGTGACAAGACTGACGAAACATAATCAATCTATTAGATATAAAATTATATTTATAAGCTTTCCCAGACATCGTAAAACCTAATAAAATATTATAAGATTATCGATTGTAAATATTATAGGTATCTTGTAACAGTGAGTTTGTATACTGATAAACTGATAAGTAATTTTATTGGGGAACCAATTCGAACAGTTGTATACTGGAAAGAATTTTTTTGTCGGGAACCAATTCGTACGCTTTAATTGACTCGGGAACCAATTCGACGTTTGCCCTTACACTATTCTACAAAATATATACCTGCCTATCAGTAATCAGAAGGCAAATCATGGGAATGTATTAATCATTTGGAGCAGATAATAAAATATTTTAACACGTCATATTCATACATAAAAAGGCGGGTAAGTGGATGTCGCTCTGCTGTATAGTAGGTAGATTACAAGAGGGTCACTGTATAATGTATGGTATAAAATTTTAAATCGAAAAACGATTCTGAGCGGTGATGGTTTGTCAATTGTCTGTGTGGATATTTTATATTATATTTATATTGTTATTAGTTATTATTAAAACTGTTGACGGTAAGTTGAATTGATATAAAAAAATTACAACAAAATAACTAAAATCGTTATTCATGGTTATTTAATATGTAATTTCCTTAAAATTTGAACATAAAATAACTATAGTTTTATATTTCTGAATTTTTTTATTACAGAATAATACCTACTTACGAGGAACCTTGTTGTAAGTTTTCAATCCTTAGATATAAAAGTTGAACATTTCATACATTTTTTACTACAAAATCATTTTAAAATTTAAAATTTGTTCATGTTTTCTAAAATCAAACTTAAAATAAAAAAAAAAATTGTGCCTATGTATTTTTACACTGCTATTTGAGCAATATATTAAGCGCCTTGTAATACATTTTGACGCTTTTTGGCCAACAAATAAAATTTTGTTGAAATTTCTATAAAAAAAAAAAATTTTAATTGCCCGTATAAACATCTCAAAACAGGTCAAAATATCTTGAAAATTTTATCAAGTATAGGAATTCACAAAATAAGCATGATATACATTTCAAGAATCTACGGTAATTTGTTTTTGAATTACAACAAAATAAGAAAATCCCTACATACATGAGAATATAGTAGAGTGAATATCCAATGATGTACAAAATATGAACTTCAAACGCTCATAAAAACTTAATTTGATTTGTTTGTAAACATTTATTTTTTAATAGAGATAGGCATAATACTTATGAGGAATCTTGTATTATGTTTT